TTGCTTTAACTGCAAGTTGCTGCACTTCAGTCTAATCATTTTAAACAATCTGTCTATGATCACTGGAGCTGAAGAAAATGCTGAACTGTACAGATTTCAGTTTTTAAGCAAATCAGAGACATTATTAATTCATAAATCTCTGGCTAGCAACCTGCAGAAAGAATATTTATTTTACCACATACTGCTGAACTATGCAGATAGCTATGTGATTTCTACTGAAGCGTGATCCTCATCTGAGAAGAGTTATAGGATTGTGTGTTTATCATATGTCAGCATATTCAGAACAAATTCAGTTAATTCACAAATAGTGAAAAGGGCTTCCTATCTGCCTATCTGTATTACACAAACATCCTTTCAAAGGATTATATTCTTACTACGTTCTCAATAATAAACATTTTGCAATCATGTACCATTCAAAACTATGTATGTTCAAGGCCTGCACTTTAAATTTCTACTTTTATTATGTCTTGCCTTCACTAAAGTTGCACTGAAGTACAGAAAAAAAGAATTTGATAGAAATATGTCAATTACAATATCAATCATGTCCATGATGAATAAAATCGTTACAGAATCTGGTTCACTCTTTCTTAGCTGTACTGATCCGTGGTGTTGGTGAAGCAGAGAAGAGCAAATTCTTGCATTTGCCTTTTCAGATAATTGCCTTTACAGAGTGGAATTAAACTTTAGATTTGGAGACACATTGATTTTTCTAAATATTGCCTGATAAATTGTTGACTGAGAGGAGTATAAGTTTTCTCTGAAGATCTTTATGGAAAGAAAAGCTCTAGAGAAGAAATAGAACACGCTCAGTAGATAATTTAAAGCTATAATGTTGTAGTCTAAAGTTTCTGGGCAAAGCTGTGTTAATCTGAGACTATACAAACAGGATGAACAGGTATTCATTCACTGAGAACAGGAGGTAAAATCAGAGCATGTACTCTCTTTTTATGTTATTTTTAAGGGAGGACTTTGCGTAGTTATAGGTATTGAAGATGAACTAGACCACCTTTGCCCAATTGATATATCTGTGACCCGAAGGGAAAGCTAAGACTGTCCACAAGCAGTTGTCTTAATTGACTAGTAAAAGGCTTTTGATCAAAATCTCATAAATTTTTGTTGTTTTTATAAGTAGCTGTATTTTGTCTTGCATGAACCTAAAGCCTTCATGTATCTGAAGGTAGGGAATCAGGATTTCTGTCCCCCACACTTCTCCTGTGTGGCACTGGCTTGGCCATTGCCACCCACAGTGCACTGCTGCATAAATACAGTCTAAAGAAGAATTCCCCAAAGTTTTGGTTAGTCTCTTTAGAAAATCATGTACAAATAAAAATATATCCCCTTTAGCCAAAAGGAAGTGATAAAAAGTGGAATATGTGGGTCCGTCTGGTCAGAGTCATGTACAAATGTGTTTACTCTTCATTTTGCATACCCTCTCTCTGTTGATATGACATAATTCCCTGTAAAGGTAGACATGGAATACTGTGTGCACACAAACATTAGTTTGTATGAGATACAGTGAATATCCCATGGGAGAGGGAACAAGACATAATTTAAAGCTGGAACGTGGAGTGATTTATGAAGGTCATTGTCTTACTGGTTCAGATACTTTCCATATGTTGTTGTAGAAACCCCCTTATGTATTGTATGTATAAAACATATGTAGCAAATTAGTTTCTATATAATTTTCCTCCTTTAAAATGTTTTGGTTTAAGAACATTAATGTCTTTTTATCTCTGATCTGTGATGTCCCACCTTATTTTATTGAAAGAACATTTTAAAGTAAAAGAGATTTTGAGATGACTCTGCTGAAGTACACTGCGGTTGATAGCAAATCTAGGGGTGTTTTCAATGCTTAAACATCCTATTGCATTGGATTTATGGCTTGACTTCTGTTTCATGCTTAGCTGATATATACTATGTCCTGTATCATGCTTAAGCCCTGAAGGTGCTGACCTAGTATGGGAGGAGGAGAGTTGTTCTTTTACCAGCTGTAGCACATTAGAATTCTTTCTCATTTTATTTTTGAAATTATTTGAAGATGGAGCTAGTTATATTAAAATTATGCTATGGGAACATGACTACTAAAAATACATTACTGTTGGAAGCACTGGAATCTTTACTATAACATATAAAATGCTTTCATTGCACTAAGGAGACTTTATTTCACTGATTGCTTAGTAAGTGAAGAGACATTTATTAATCAAATAAATCAACACCACCCATGGCAGCTTGACCCTAAAGTACCTGCTGAGGAGAGATGAATGAACAAAGCATGAGGAAAAAATTATCTGGTCAATGATGTGCCTTTCTGCTTGCAATTTTCTAGAATTTATTCATTATGGAACTTTTATTCACCAAACAGTGTCTGCCGAGTTGCTTGGCTTGTAGCTTGTTCAAGAGCAATTTGTATTGAACATTCAAAATATACTTCAGATGAAAATTATTTGTCATTAATGCAAGGGGCCTTTTTTTTTTTTAATACGATCCCTTACTCAAAAAGTCCATGGACCATGAATAAAGCACCTAAGCATAACTGTGCTTCAAAGTAGTAAAAGCATGAATCACCCACAGCATTTCTATAGCCTGATTTTGAACTCTGCATAAGGATCTCCACAGACATCAGTGGTATTCAAAACAACTCTGAATATCCATTTTTCGGCATAAACGTTTGGAACTGCCACTTTAAAATACATTAGGCACGCTCTCTGTGCTCCTTTCTTAGAAATCCTTGTTTCAGTGGCCGTTTCTGCCATTACACTTTTTTGCTCGAATATCTGTGGGAGGTGAATTGTAAAGAAGACACTGAAAATAGTAAAACACTTAAATATAATTAAGAAATTCTGAACTCTGTTTTCCTATATCTGTAACCCAGGGTCTATGTTTTTAGGTTCCTTCCCCCACCTTCTTATTTTGTAAGGCTTTTAAAATGTTCTAGCTGTGAAGTTGCATAAGGAATATGAGCTCATCAGTACGAAAAGCTCATGTTGTATTTAAAATTTTTGCAGAGTGAAAGCAACATCAGTACTAAAAGGTAGTAATAATAATTCCTTTCCTTGATTAAATACACAAAAATAAGCGTTTTCTATTTTGTTTCCTCACTATTGCAGCTGTGCAATATATCACCCCAGTGCACAGAGTGCTAATATGAGCATGCTGATAAGTAGCACGGTAGCAGGCTTATGGACATCCTTTGTGGTGTCCTGTGCACTCTCAACGTATCAGTGCCACATTGTTCCCCAGACTTCCACTGTGTGTGAGCTTGCTTCTGGGAGAGGAGAACAAATATACAAATGTGACAGTAAAGCTTTAACATCTGCTATAACCATGAGTAGTTTGCTGGATGAGCTCATCAGCAGGTAGGCCAGCTAGTTCTTCATATCTGCTCTCACTAGCCAGAGCCACTACCACAGCCTCCTGAGAGTTGTCAGTGTATCTTGTTGGACTCGAGAATTGGTTAGTCAGCCAAATAGGTGTTTTCCTCATGTCCTAAAGGGGAAAACGAGTAACTCTCCAAAGCAGCTGTGAAAGCAGCTACATGATTAGGACATAAGGCAAATTTGTGGGACCAGGTTTGTGTTACTCATTTTCATTTTTACATTTTCATAGAATGAAATTTATGCATGGTCAGGGGAAGGACACAAGGTGAATACAATGCTTCTGTCCTCAAAATAAGATCTGAGGTGAAAACAAGAGGTGAGTGGATGGTGCTGGCTCTCTGAGCGGGAATTATTTTGACATCACTAAGGGCATCTGTTATTCTACTGCCCTTGCCTACAGGGGAACAGCAGTTACAAGTTAGTGTTTGTGTTCAGGTACTGGCCCACTGGCAACAAATTAAAGAATTATGAGCATATCTGTTAGCAAAATCAAAATGAATCTGGAGTCACCTCTTTGTTACTTCTGGGTGCTTAAAACAATTTATCATCACTGCTGCAGCAGCTGCTCTCTGCTGCATGTAGAGGCACTGGAATTCCCATCCAAACCTACTCCTTACTCTCTCTAATATCTTTCAGTTGCACTTCCTCTCCCTCACTAGGTAACATAAACTAGAATAGTGTGAACTAGCACATTACGGCCCTTGGGAGAGCCTCTTCCAGAATACATCTGCCACCAGGCAGACTGCTCTTCTTTCTGTCACTGACTGGACTTTCCTTCTGCCTGATGCTTCTCTACATTGACCGTTTCTATGTAGTTCTCCTCTTTTTCATTGGAACTCATGGGCTGCATATTAGTATCTCTATCATTATCTGTGTCAGGAATGAATAAGTTTTCCAGGGAATGACTCACCTTTGCAGATTCCAGGATGTTTTTGTTCTCCCCTTTTCAGCTAAGGTGCATGCCAACTTGGCCTCTAGCAGGGATTGCACTATTCCTGACAGCATGTTTAATGCTGAAGATTCCCAGCAATGGAGAAACTAAGGTGCTTTGCATTTCCTAAACCTGTCTTGTCTTGAGACTGAAGCATGTAGGTAGGATTAATGCTGCCTCTGCAGGCATACTTAAATTTTTCTGACTCTGTAATGAGTCGTTGTCTTTGGGTTCTTTCAGGTCCTCGGCTGGATTCATTCAGGTCCTTGGCTGAAACAAAATGCACTCTCAGAATGGAATAACTCCAATTATATCAGCTGAAAAGATGAGTAATTTCTTTGTTTCAAAGGTGCTCTGTTCACTTATAAAACTGGTAGCCAAGTTTGAGGCATTACAGCCAGAGATCAGAATTAAAGTTTTCCTGTCCAGAAATACGGTTTGCTTATAAATAGTATCCATCAGAAGTTTGTCTCCAAGGGCTGTAATGTAAGGCAGATACTCACCTTGATCTTTTTTTTTGGTGCATATAGCAGCAACTGTGTACTAGATTCTGGCTTCAAAATCTTTGGTAGCCATAATAGTGTAAGAGAAGGAGTAAACAGAGTTTCAGATGTAGGGTGGGCTTTAGGGGGCACTGATACTTAGGGGGCAAAAATGGTCACTTTTTGAATACTGTTGCTTTGGTAGTTTGTTCATAGAATCATAAACAAATTTAAGTGGGACAGGACCTTAGGAGGTCATCTTGCCCAACCTCATGCTCATATGTATATTTGTGCATTCAAAAAGGAAACCAGTATTTCGAACTCTGAAAAATGCCAAGGTTTACTTCCACAAATGTGTATTGCCCCTCATTCACAGCAGGTGGCGCTTGAATACCCGAAATGCATTATTTATTTAGTGCCGTTGCAGTTTTAAACCTGAGGTTGTGTATAACCCCAGTGACAATGTCTTCTGATACAAACGGTTTAAAAGCAGAGTGATAGCTCATAAAATGGAGGGGGAAAGAAAAAGCAAGAAGGGAATTGTTCAAAACTATAGGGTGGAATGACTGCAATCTTCATTTCCTTGGGATAATCATGATTCAGGAAAGAATGTGATGACTGTTCTTAATGTCCTCTTCTTAGTAGGAGGGACTTTCCAGAATTGTATTCCTAACAAATGCATCTAAATGTAACAAAAATGTGTAATAATGTGAATAAAATCAATATAAGGAAGTAATTAGTTCACGGAAGAGCAGAAATGGCCAATTCTCTTTACACAGAAGCCAAAAGTGCTGATGAATTACCATTTTATTTTTGATGCTTTTTATCTTTTGCAGGAAAGGTGCTTCAGTTCTCCTGTGCCTAACTCAACAGAATTTCAGTCAGGAACATGTTGCTAACTTCTCAGTTTAATCCAGCAGAACCATGAATTCAATTTACCCTATCTAACAGAACACAAGGATTTTAGCAGTGATTTTATATTTATGCTGACTGTCTACTATAGTTACTAAAACAGAGTTAGGCACCAACTGTAGTATTTAAGGCATAAGTGATCAGTTCAGACCACTAATAATGCACACCTGATAGGCAGGCCTTGGCACCCTGTATAGTTAATGGAGAAAGTAGGTGCAATCCCTCAGGCATTCTTTATAGATAGTTAGGACACTGTGCACCATGAATAGCTAGTACATATTTCAGAAGCATCTCTTTGTACTTCTCTGTTCTCTGAACTAGTAGTAACTGCCTCCCAGTGCTTGATAATCCCTCCCATCTTATTTTAAAGATGTTTTGTTTTTTCCAGAAAAATCACTAGCAGGAAGGAGTAAATGTTAATGAAAACGCCCTAGGAGAGTGAAAATAGACATTTCAATGAAAAAGGATGATAAGGTGATGAGGAAGTAAGTCTGTCTTTCTGTGTCTAAAACAAATAATTTGCAAGCAGAGTAAATGATAAAAACACTGAAAGGGCAGGATTTCAAATGGTGCTAGATCATTATGGGGTCATCAAAGGTCCCTCCTGTTTCTGTTCTGTTCTGTTCTCTTCTTATGTAGCCCACAGAGTCATCCTTCACCGCTGTCACCATGGGAACTAAGGAAACTGGGAAGGCTGTATATCTTACAAAGATACTAAAGATGAAGGTGAAGCCTACTTCATTAGACAAAATAACAAATGGGATTCAAGCTAGATCCCAAGTGTCACACTGAGGCAGGATTATTCTTGCAAATTAAGATGTAAAGAGGGTATTTGAAAAAATTATGCCTAACCGTATTTTGTGAATGTGTATGTGAGGGAGAATTGTTTTGTTTTTTAAATAGATGTTTACCTGTGAGTACATTTTTCTGGATATATCCTGCCTGACAATTTCTCTGACTGATGCTGGTTTTTGGTCTGATAGTCATGATGCCAGAGAACAGGAGTAAGGAGGAAGACTATGTGATGTAAAAATATGGTGAGTACTACCGATGAGTGACAGAGCTTAATTCAGGCAAGAGTCTAATTCTGTACTAGCTGCCAGCCTACCAAAAGACCTTTCTTCTTTGGTCCCGGCATCACGTCATTACTTCTGCACAAGAGCCGCCAATGGCCATTATACACTCATTTTAAAAGATCCCTTTTCTTCCAAAGCAATGGGTGCCCAATTGGTCAGTCACATTTACAAGATCTGATTTACGTGGCATATCTATCTGTGTATTTATAGGTTAAAGACACACAATTATATGTTTGTATCTAACTTTGAAATACTTGTTCCCTATGTATTGTATTGTGATCTGAAATGGAAACAACCTGGTATCATGACACTGGACACCCTACTGAAGGGAGAAGATCTGGATCCCAATTTCCTGTCTGTACTGTAGGCTAAGTATACATTAATGAGCCTGACAGTCCATTGAAAACAAGTTCCTACCTATCATTCTTCCCTCCGCAGGGGAAAGGGAATGAATAACTTGCTTTTCCTTTCCTATAGTCTGGAAATCCTTCCTTCATCTGGAAATACTGTATTTGATTCTCCCCTGCTCTGCATTCTGTATAGATAATACCCCTACTGCCAAGAAGTTGTAATATATTAGCATTTCAAAACCCGTGGTAATTAAAACCTATTTGTCAGAAGAATAGGCTGTGAATGAATCAGATCTGTTACCATTTAAAGACATTCTGAAGACAGCTCCTGCCCAGCAAAGGACCTCACTCAGGGTCCTAATATTGAATTAGTGGTGTAAATACAATTACAGAATATACAACCCAAAAAACTGAGTTCAAACAAACAATAATATTTTTGACAATAATAATGACATAATATATTGATGAGTTGCCAATACATTCAGTGAGCTGAGTAGTCCTTCATACTATCATTGAAAGGAAGTGGAGTAAAAAATTCCATCTGTGGCTATCCTTTGTTATCAGTTGTGCATCTCCTATTCATAATGGCTTTGGCATATTGAAAATTCTTAGAATAAGTGTTAATAAATTCCAGCCTAAATATAAACCCTGTACCAAGGATCAAATAGTATACTATGGTGCGTAACTGAAAATCTGAACCTACCACAAATCCCAGAAGCACACATTCCCAAAACAAATACTTTCCAGCAAATACCAAACAAAAATAACTTTTCAACAGAAGAGATCTCTGGAGCATAGCAAAATGCTGTAAGCCCTATTAAGACAGTCATGCAGGAGAAAGTTAGTAAATAGTTCATCATAAACTCGAACTTCTTCTGTGGACTTAGCCAATAACCATCATGCCTGGGTGGCAGAGAGAGAAAACAAGATTATTTTCATCTTCTGGATGTGACAAATTCCTCTGTTCTCCAGATTAAATGAAATAAAGCCCTTTACTGCATCTGGTGCAATAAAGTTATGCTATTACCCCCTTCCAGTCCAGATGAGGCAATCAGAAATGAACACTTTTCCCTTACACCAGCTGCTGCTGCTTCTTTTGATCAAAATTACTCTGTGTTCTTAGTGCCTGTAAATCTGAAGGAGGAAATGTTTTTAGGAGATGGAATAGACATGCATCACCCTCTTTGGTAAGCGTTCAAGGCTTTATCTACTCTTGAGAATTGCAGAAAACTTCTTCATGCTTCAAGATCTCAGATGTTGTTCCTTATTAAAGGGATTTTCCACAGCAAAATATACAAGCATATCATGGATGTTATTCAACCCAAGTGAATTCACAATTAGATTTCAAACAAATCAAAATCCAGGATTTTTTGAGAATCTTAATAGATTTCACATTACTAGGTTCTGTTACCAGCCCAGTCCACAAGGGACTGAATAATGCCTAAACTGTTATGCTATCAGAGTCTTTGAGGAGATGGAAAGCATCCATCCTATGGATCCTATATGGAAAACATCCATCCTGTTAAGAAATTGATTCGACAGAATTTGTTCCAATGTAAAACAGTCTGGGAAAACAAGTCCATTAGGCTTTTTTTTAAGCTGACTGGCTTTTATCAAGATGGCTTCCTGTTTTAACTGTAGAACATTATGTACAGTGTTTCAACAGAGGTGGACGAAAACATTCAGACAGGATATATTCAGGACAAGTGCTGGTACGTAGCTGGGAATGCTGCTGCATTCCCAGATGCCTTCATTTTTGATTCTACATAATTAGCGACAACAACCTTTTCTTCTTACTAGTTGCTGTAATAGCACCTCAAGCTGTTTGTCTGGATCTAGTGCTATCTTAGAGCCACAAGGATTCTGAGAATATACTATAGGCTGAATGAAGGTAGAATCACAATTTGGCAGCAACCTGGAAAGAGGATGAGGAGCTTTAGCACTGCATACATACAGCCTCACGGATTTGTGTCAGGTAGCTAGGATTTCAGGAAATTCCAACTCAGAAGAAAGTTTTAGAATGTCCTGTCAAATCTCCTGTATATCACAGAATATATATTTTTTTTTCTAAAGTCCAACCACTGTCTAAAGCATTTCAGACTGAGCAGCAGGTTAACTCAAGACAGGAAAGAGCAATCTTTGTGGTTCTTGCAGTGATAGGAACCCATGTAGGTGTCATATTCCTCAGTCATCCATGAGGCAGAAGAACATTTCCCCCAGAATCCTTCACAGTCTAACTTGGGAAAGTGGTTTTGTCACATAAGATGTGATCTCTCTGGTTCCGCATATGTAATTGCTATAAATTCTCTTTTGGTTCTGTAGGTTCAGATGAGCTTCACTTTACCAGTCAGCTTTCTTGGCTGCTGCTGGTTGCTAGAAGGCTCTTCTTCTCCATATGACTCTTGGGATGCCAAATCTCTAGTCAGCCTGTCCTGTACAGGTAGCGTTCTGTCGCAGTCTGCTAGTCTTTGTACAGCCTTGGATGATCTGAAGGAGAGCTGAATACTTGTTCTTCTGCCTTACTTCACTCAGTTTTTTTCAGTCTAATGTCCATTAAATAACTATCACGTGGAAATGTTTGAGATGATGTATTAAAATCAGTATATTCAATGTTGTATGTATCATCCTGCCCTTTTATGAGTTTCATGACATAACTCATGTACCTAAAGTAAAACATGAGCATACCAGATTTGCAGGAACACAGACCTTTATGATTAGCTTTGATCCAATGAACACTGCAGTAGTTCCCGGAGAAATAATGTATTTGCTAACAAAGCCCGCCGGAGGACACATTTTGTGTGTACAGAAGGAGGAAGGTGGAAGGTGACCTAAAGTGATAGTTAGCAATAATTTTTAGTGTTTTCAGTCCATTTTAATCTTTTAATATTAGTCCAGTCTTAAGCTAAGAAAATCATTTTCTATTAATATCTCTTCTCTCCTGTCTTGAAAATGGACTTGTGTACACGAAAACCAAACAAGTAATAAAAGAGATAAGTTTATTCCGATTTTTATCACTTTACTGCAAGGTCACATCCTGCATATTTCCGAGGCATGTAGTGAAGGAATAACTAACTTCAAAGCAAAATTATGTAGTTGTATTTCCTACTAACACTTGCAAATAGCTATAATTGTTAACAATATCATTTTATTTTGCAATTGATATTCCTGATATTTGAGGTGCGTATCAATACTTTAAATGTTTGTATGGAAAACCCTCAGTTGCCTATTTCTAACTAGATCTGTTCCAGTTTCAGTGTCAAAGAAGGCTCATATTTTATGTTTAGTGTATTGTATGCTTAATTAACCCATCCCCCACCCAAGCAACAGAACCCTCTCAAGCAATGTTTAGATATGGATTTTGTTTTAATATCTCATCTGTCTTATACTACCATTTCGTGGATTTGAAAATCGTGCTGTTGGGCTTTTTTACTCCTAGTTTTACAGTTAATCTCTAGTGATTAGTTATACTTCATAATGAGTTCTATGTCTAGAATGCCATGGCGTTTCCTCCCTTTTCTTTGGCGAGGAGTAAAATATCAGTGATTTATAACTGTGCTTTTGAGGGAGCAAAGCTAAGCCTGACCCTTCCCTTCCCTGCTGTTCCAGAAACTAGCAAATTCCTCTTTGCTTCCAGTCCAGGGACAGCAACATTGTTCAGGGTTAGATACTCTTAAACATGAGTACGATTGTAAAGTCCACAAATTGTTCCTTTGTGGATAGTTATATCATAAGAGGGAAATAATTAATCCATACTCAGTTTTCACTAGTGCTTGTTAGGGTCTTTTGTAGAGCAGAAGCAAGAGGGAAAACACTTGTTGAAAATGACAATATAATTTTACAACAACAAAGAAAAATTGATCTGAATACACGGGGCAGGTGGACCTGAAACTAAGTTTATCTTGTTTAAAGCATTTACTAGATTTTATGGTTATGATGACTATGTGTGGATTATGACTAATATATACAGTAAACTGAATGTAAGTGGAGGTATATGTATTTACTTTGTTACATTTGATACAAAGGCATGGTTAGTTGTTCATGTTTATAAAGATATGTGCAGGTTATAGGAAAGAAAGAATAACAACTGTCTTACTATATGAGATGTAAACTTTGGACATTGAAGGAATGAGATAAAAATGGTTGCTTTGTGTATGTTTTATATGGACTAAACTGTAAGACCGATTCTGCAGACTGAAAAGGCTTAGACCTCTGTAGCTGAGGAAGTTTTACATATGCTATGATACTTGAAAAGAGTCTAAAATAAATACTGTAAACGCTTCAGATTAAATTAATCAAAAAATTCAAAATCCCCAGAGGAATTTTTTTCATAATAATCATCATCATAATAAAGATTTCAGGAAAAGAAATGACAATTGGCTGCAGCATCAAATTATAAATGAGTAAATCATCCTTCAAAATGCACTTTAAAAAGTCTATTTTAAGGTAGCCTAGCATTATGTGAAGGGTACTTCTTTTTCCTCCTGAAACTAGAGCAGAAGCTCCTAGTGGTATTATGTTTGTCTGGTTCAGACAAAATGTCACTGAAAAGATGGAAAGTCCAAAGTCAGCTCCAATTTTAGGCACCTATGTGGTCTCTTATGTAAATATTGG